ATATATGTATATATATATATATATATATAACCTAATATTTCACTATTAAGTTGATTTTATTAGTCGATTCTTTTACATTAATTTACACACATAAATAAATAAAAAGTAAAAGTATTTGACATTGTATATTGACGGTAAAAAAAATAGCGAAACAAAAATGACGTGAACCAACCGTATTGTTGCAAGAATTTTAGCCGTGTCGATGGTAAGTTGGTTCCGAACAATGGAGCATGTTTCTTAATTTTTACCTAACTAGGACAACGAGAACCAAATGACGACTCTCTTCACTCTATCTCTCTCCTGCTTATGTTTCTAACATTCATCATCTTTTGGGTTCTCAATCCCAGAAACATATACCTCAAATTAAGAAACAAATTAAGAACCATGCATATGAACTTTATAGTAACCAAAAAAATAAGTGTATGTTAAGTGGAGGAAGGGGCTCATAAATTAAGAAGCATAAGTAAGGAGGGATGATACAAACCTGAGGAGTGCTACGAGGATAATGAATTGAACCGGAGAAGAGGATCTTATGTTGGCCATCAATGATTAAGGATCGTCCATCATAGGTGACATTGCCACCGTTGACGGAACCAATAAACAGCGTTAGAAAAAGAGCAAAGAGAAAACAGTAGCAGCACCACACCTTCACCATTTCTACAAAGCTTGCTCACTTTGTAACTTGTGTGTGAAGAGACTATAGCTACCTTAATTCCTTTCTTCTCCCTATATATTTATATATATATTCACTTGGTTCTCGATCTGAAGACTAGCTACAACTACAAGTGATTCATATGGAATATATGCATTAAAATAACTCGTATACAAATTGCAAGGAACTATATAATGTATGTGATTAACTACTATTTATATTTACCTCATAGGACAAGTGGACAAGGTTTAACTTGTAAGAAACCAATTTGATGATTCTTTTCAGATGCGCGCATTTGATTATAAAATGATTATTATGTACATTTTTTTTTGTATTTTAAAATTAGAAAATACATTATGCACCCAAAATTTAAAATAATTTGATACTGTCATCCAATAACAGTTTATTATGTATAACATATTTGTTAAATTTTACAAAAATATTAATTTAATTAGTTTTATTATTGACAGAGCAAAACAATTCTATACAGTCATTCACAAATTTTATTAAAAATTACTTATATATTATTCGTAAAAGTCAACCCATCATGCTAATATCTAATTAATTAACAAAATAGACACTTGATGTACTACTTTCGTTTTATATCATCATTAAAACTTGGGCAATTAATATGACATGTGACATTAATTACATGATATTATCTTTGTTTTTATAATTCTTTTATGCTTCCTAAAACATTTTAAAATGAAAGACAAATTTTTATTTTATTATTCACGTATTAACATAATATTAAATCAGAAAAATTTAAAATCTACAAACATAAACATAGTTATTAGTGATTAATTATAAAATAGTGTGCAGATTATGTCGTTAAAAATAAAATTTTAAAAAAAAATAAAAAAAAATAAAAAATAAAAAATAAAAACACCATGACAGAAGGGACGGTAATGAATCATCGAAACTCATTTATGGAGAGATGGTAAGTTGTAGCTTGGCTGCTTTAGTAACCGAAAGTTGTCACGAAAAGTTGTTCGTTATTGTGGAATGGATAAGCAACTTTATTTTCAGTACACTATTTATATATTCTATTAATTGCATCATCAAAAACCAATGTGATAATGATGCTAATTCATTTTATCCAAAATTTCACTATTTTATTAATTTTAATCCGATTAGGATGCATTTCGGCCTATAAGAGTTCATATATGTGGATAAATTACAATTGAAAAGATAACAAAAATAAAGAATATATAATATAAAGCATTTTATCAAAATGTGATATTGATGCTTTTCGGCCTATATGAGTTCATAAATGTGGATAAAAGTTAAATTAAATAAGATGACAAAAATAAAAAATATTATCTTCCTCCTATAATATATATAGTTTTAGATTATTTTACTTAGAAAATTAATAAATAAATAATAATAATAATTTTACAAAATTAATGTTTTATCAGAAATAATATAAAATAAAAATCATTTTTTGCATAATATTATTAGGAGTATAAATGAAAAGTGATAATTGATATTATATTAAAAATTTAACATGATATTTATTTTAAATTTATTTTTATAATACGATAATTATTATAGAATGACGGAAATATCAAAATGTGATAAAGATGCTTATCGGCTATGTGAGTTCATATATATGTATTGTGGATAGAGATAAAATTGGATAAGATAACAAAAATAAAGAATATATAATATTCAGTATTTTATTAATTTTAATGCACTATTGTGTTTGGCTTCATAAAAATTTAAGAGAAATGTTTAACATTTCTTACTCGAAAGAAATGATAAAAAAAAAATCAGATAAAAATCCTATTTTAGTTTTTTTGTTTTACTTTATCTCAATTAGTCTCCCATTTACTAATCTTTGCAATCTAATTTCTCAACAATTGAAATATTCCTCAATTTGGTTCATTCAAGTAAAGAATAAATTTCAAATCCATATTATGGAAAATAAAATTAGCATGATCCTTGATAACAAAATGTAAAAACTACATCCATATCCAAACAGACCCGTACTGTTTTTAAATTCAGCACGCGGTGCTATATGATTGTGTATGAAAGATCGATCTCAATTGTTGGTTTAATTTTAGTTTGGTGATTTAATTATATAAAAAAAAACGAGGGTGTTGTTTGAATGATTAATCAGAACACCAAATGCAGACACCAATACTATACCAAATCTATGCAGCAGCAAAAACATTAATAATTATAATACTCAAAAGATGAAAGGATCAAATAGTTGTTGAAGCTATACGTGGATTCGCAGAGTACAAGGAAAAATACCAACTTCTTTTTGTTGCTTTGCATTAATAATCAAAATATCTGTTGTAGCATTTTTCTGAACTACGATACCAAAAAACCAGTTGTAATATTCCTTTTCAATTGGATTTCTATACCCAGTGCAAGCACATTATGTTTGATCGGAGAAAAAAAATGAAAAAGAAGAAATATTCCGTTTTGCTTTCCTTTTTCATTTTTTTAGTTACCTAACAAATATTTTTTTCTTTCACCAATTATTAAGTGTAGAAAATTATTTATAAAACAAATGCTTTATAAATAGAAAACAGAAACAATTTAGAGATGTTTTCTTACTCTCTTCTGTTTTGTAGCTCTAACTCAAGGATGTAGATCATCTACAGATGTGTTGCATGTAGTGAGGTATGGACTTGATATGCATGTCTATACTTCTTTATTTTTTCTAAAATTAAAAATACTTTTTGAAAAAAAAAATCAAACACATTAAAATAAATTTTCTTTAATGTTATCTTATTTGATGTGTTCCTATTTGTATTTTTTTAGTTTTAAAATTCATTTTATAAATTATTATTAAAAATGATTTGTAGACTATAGAAGTGGCTAGGAGCAAAATGTGTAAAGATGTATCGATACATAAATATATAAAATTATACTTACACTTCTTTTAGTTATCAATGATATGGTAAAGAAATATGAAGGAAAGAGAATAATAAATAGGTGAAAAGGTTTTAAAAAAAATGAAGTATATATGATAGGAAGAAATGAAAGAAATGTTTTGGTATACCTAAAAGTTTCACATCACTTAGTAGTCAAGATTAAAGTAGTTTATAAATACATTCCTTCCTTACACTATCCTTTTTAAGGACAAAATTATGACAGTCTAACGAGTGTTTAAGCGAGTAATACTTTAGATGTGGTAACCTTAATAATGCCAACAAATTTAGGGTTGGAACATTGGCACTAGAATGATAATTTATGTTATTATTGCCTCTTGCCTCAATTGGGAGCTTGTTCATGTATGCCTAAAAATTTCATATCATTTTTTAATAGCCGATGTCAATAGTAGTTTATAACGGCATAACAAACACTAAAAGGGACAATACTTCTAATGCATTGACATTAATGATGTCAACGAACTTACTGTCAGAATTTATTTTCACAACCTCACGAGAAAGAAGACGTAGAGGGTTAAAACCGTCAAAGTTAGATGAGTCGTGATATTCAAAATCAGAACCTATAAAATAATAGACAAAAAAAGGAAAAGAAAAAAAAGGTAGGTACATGGGAATAAGAAAACTTCTAAAAATCTTTAAGGCTTTCAAGGAGTGGAGACACAAAGCAAAAGAGAAACTATTCGACGATAATGACAAAATGAAGAGGAATAGTGAAAATGAGAACTTATACAGCAATCAATAAGGATTAGGGATAATGAAGGGTTACACTTTTGATGAAGGGAAATATCCCTAAGATATTGAAGAGTCATATATGAAAGACATGGTTGTATGTTCTTCAAGAATATTTCACAAGTGAAACGACAACTCTTCATCTTTTTCTTTCATTATTGTTAAAATTTTAAATGGCGCAAGTGAAAAAGGCAAATAGAAAGTTGTCTAAAATTAATAATGATTATAAGAAGAGCAATAAACATCAATAAATGACGTGAAATTTCAAGTAATATTTTTTATTATGTTACGAATAATTTTTTGATTTTTAATTTGCATGTGACTTTATTCTAGTTTATTCATTATTTTTAAGGTTCGAGACTAGGGACTTATGTATGGTCAATCGAGTATTAAAAATATAATTGGAATAATCTAAGTTATAGCTTGAATTTTGGAAAGATAAGTATTATGACCTAGCTTTATTATATTATAGTTCGACAGTTGTTATACATTATATAGTGAGAATAGTTATCAAACATTGAGGTACCTATTTAATCTTAAATAAAGAATTATGAAAAATGATAAAACTATCTTAATCATTAAAGTGTATTTTGTAGGTACACACCAATGCATGATTGAGAATAGATTCTAAAGGGATCAAAAGACAAGAGAGATTGAAACTATCAAGAAGAAGATTAAAAGAAAAGAAGAGTATAACGTGCTCTCTATTACTATTTATGGTAAGAACAAGAGAGAAAAATACTTTTATATATCTTTATAAAACTGTGCAAATGTTACATAATTAAAAGTGCAATTCGAAAAAAAGAATATATTATATAAGATTACAAAATAGTATAGAAATTACATAATAAAAATTATCTTTTATATATTTTAAAAATAATTGATTATTTAACGTAATAAAAACATATTTGTCACTTTCTTATTATGTTACAAGCATAGGAAGTTAACTTCATTATTATCGATGAGACAAAAAAAAATTACATTCGATCGTTTTAGAAAATTATATAATCAAATTAGACCTTCAAATAATAAAGAGGGTAAATTAAATAAATTAAGAGACCTGAAGAATTTTGTACAAAATAAATAAATAATATACTACCTCGTAAACGCTCATTCAAATACATTTATTTACAACCCCAAGCGTGTGATTCAGCAGTAGGAGTTGATCCACGTTTAAGCAAGGTCAGGGATTCGAATCCTGTCTTGTGTATGCAGCCGCGTTAAATCTTGGGACCAACTATCCCACCCTTTGAGGTGCCTAACGAGGAGATTAGTTACTGTTATCGGCGGTAGATACTCCAAAGACAAACCCAAAAAAAAAAAAAACATTTATTTACCATTCAAACCACCCGGCCGTTAGGCAGAGGACAGATAAGTATTATGAAAAATTATCACTGTACAATAAAAAGTATAAAGAGCAAACTTGAAAGCACCATTTACAGGATCCATGAGATCAATGTTAACTTATAGAGAGATGGAAATTGAAAGCATCTCCTGAAACATCTCCAGCATTAGCTCCCTATCTGCATGCTGGAAAAAATTATTCATTTCATCCTCTCTAATATCATGTACCTTGCCAAATTTAAACAAGAACTCCAAACACCCTTTCTTTAACTTGAGCAACTGATAAAACCAAGCCTCATTTAGCATCTCAAGAACATTCCCTGAGTGAAGATCTTCCATAAGGCTTTCCTCACAGATATCTTTGAGACCACCAAGGTCATATTTATTAGCAGCTCCAAGCAATGCAAGCCGGTGCTTCCAGAAATCTTCTTGCTTGATTGTTCCATATATGTAACTCAGAAGAGCCGTGCAGGATTCAAGTGACATGTCTTGTATGTGGATTGTGGAGGATTCTTTTTCCTTTAGATTGTGATGAAACATGCTCTGGAACACTGGAGAACTTGCTGACAAAACTGCCTTGTGAGCTCTCAAAGTGCCATCAGCAGTGATGATGGTTAGGTCAGCATGTATGGCCTCTTCAATCATGCGAGAGAGGATGCGAAGAGTGCCATTTTGAAATGCAATGGAATGTGAATTTCCTTCAGATGGCCAAACAGAACTAGTTTCTCCACCCTGAGTTTGAAAAAATTATCAAAGTTAAACACTTAAGCAGCAAGAATCAGAAACTAGTTCAGATGTCTGGGGAGAACTGTCTATAGATTAAGGAATTAACTAGAGTATAGATAAACTTATCTAAAAGTACTTATATGAAAGAAAAAAAATAGGAAGTGAAAATGAAATTAGTTGATCCATAAGCTAGAATCAGTTTTTTTGGATATTCATGATATTGGTATGAGATATCTATCACCGAAAGTAGTGACTAATCTTCGTTAGAGACCATAAACGCACACAAGGTAGGTATTCCCTTCCTAATATAGTTTATTTCATACCCAAGATCAGAATTCAAAACCTGGACAACTTAGTTAAAAAACACAAGTTGCAAACACTTATGTTAACCACTGTTGAAATTAAGGGACACAAGCTAAAATTTGTTTATGAAAAAACTAATTTGTAAATCTCTCTCATATTAGCTTCTTCAACAACTTATATTTAACTTGTGTATAAGCAATTTTATTTATAGAGAAATTTATTTCATTTTTTTCTCAGAAGTTTATCCAAACAAACCTAATAAAATAACTCAATCCAACTTCATGGGTTGATATCCAGAAGATCATCTGCCAGAATAATCACTTTAGTTTACATTTAATCAAGAAAATGTATAATCATTTAGCACATCAATATCATAAAAATAAAATCATGTATAGGAACTCAACTCACATTTGGAGGGCATATCTTCAGGTCTAGAAACTCAACATCAATGATGAAGCGACCAACAAAAGTAGTATCCACTGACCAGACAAAGTCATCATGTGTTCTAAGCAGCTTTTCTTGAACTACAAGCAAAAGGAAATGAAGGTGCTATCTGAGTCAGCATTCCATTGTATAATCTTGAAACTGCTAAAGGTAATTGCAATTTCAAACTTCTTATATGGCAATTTGAGTTACAAATCGCAACATGCAATTATCCGTATTTCTTCTTGGCAAATAAAGAGCTAAAGAGTAGGAAGACATGTCACCGGGCTCAGATATTCAGGTATAAACAAGTAAAAGGCCTTACTGATAAAGTAAACAGAGATTGGGAAGCATGGGTTGAATTGAATTTATGGAAAAATTTTCTGTAGATGTGTTAAATGTGTGAAAAAAATAAAGTTGCACAGTTTGGTTGAAACTTCTCGAACTTGTAAAATCAAAATAACTATATTTTGTAGATCCTACAACTTCAGATAATTTAGAGTAAATTACACTAATTCTCCTGGGTTTCTTAAGATTGTACATAACAACCTCTTGCTTTTTGGTGGTTGCAGAAACTCTCCTTGTAAGAGTACGCGGTAATATTTTTCAAATAATTAAGAAGTTGTTAGTTAGTATAGGAGTAAAATAGGAGATATATCTGAAAGTATTTAATGAAACTTCAAGATAGTTGGTATAATTTACTCTATGATAAAGAAGAGAGGAAAGAAAAAGTGTGGTGAGTGTAAATATTATAAACATTTATTTTGGTTTCTAAATTTAAAACGCTTTGACAATTATATTATTCTAAAATTCAACAAAATATATATGATTAAAGTGATACTATGGATATAGAAACTAAAATAAAAGTAAATAATTAAATTTAAAAACTTATTTTTATGCCTTTTATAATTTCAAATTCCAACATACATAACCAAAATGATCATATCTTATTTTTATGTAGAAATATTTATTTCATTCTACAAATATTTTATTTTATTTCCTCACACTCTTTTCTCTTCTACTTGAAAAAAAAAAGAAAAAAAGAGTGAATTCCTTTTATCCCATGTTATACGAATAAAATGAAGATAACATAGTTCAAGATTACCGGGGGAAATATGAAAGGTGCGCGATGAGCCAGCACTGGAGACTCGAAGAATGAATCTGGCGAAGGGTGGGTAATCCTTAGAAACCGAAGAAGGTTCTGGAAAAAGATGTATGTAGAGATACTTATTCCTCACAATTGAAAAGTACCTGAAAAAACAAGTTTAAAAAGTTAATTAAGATCTGAATTCATCATTCAATTCAAATACACAAACACAAAGACGCACGCACCAGTTCCAGATTCCGACCTTGAAGGAATCAGATTTTTTGTAGGAAGAAGGTCCGAAGTTTTCGATTCTCCATTGGGCTAATCTCGCAAGCGTCTCCACTCTATCCCCCATGCTCCACTCCAACGATGGACTCTGTCTAACCATTTTCATTTTGACTCACAACACAAGTCATAAATAAGGAAATATACTTGTAAGTTGTAAGCTCTTATATATTATTAAACCAAAATAATCTATTACTATAATATAAACTATTTATCATAAATTTAAAATATAATTTATATGTTTAAATATATTTATTTATATAAATTTTAAATATAATTTATATATTTAAATATATTATTGTTTATATATAATTTATTATAAATTTTAGTTATATATAATAAATATTTAATATGTATAATTAAAATACACGGTTAAAATACTAGTTAAATGTAAAAATAAAATTCATAAAAAGTCTGTCAAGGATTTAAATATTATTCATAAAATTTTACTCTAATTATATCATTATAATTTTTTGATAACAAAAAGAATTTATCAAACATTTTGCAAATAAATAAATAAAATATAACATATTAATTTCACTCTATTATGATATTAATCAATTAAAAATTAATTTAAATATGACTTTCACAATGATTACAGTAAAAGTTAATGATTTTTAATTATGAAAAATTATAATCAGATGATAATGATTTTTAATTATAAAAAATTATAATTAGATGATAGTATAAAAATCTTACATTATCTTAAGTTAAATTTTAAAATTAGTATTTCAGAGACTTATTTATTTAATACTACTTTCTATAAAGTATAAAAAAAAATTATAATAGTTGTCAAAAAAATTACAATATTCTGCGTAATATTTATGCAGATAATAAAAGCGTTTGTTTGACTAATATTTTAGTAAAGTAAGTTTAATATGCTATTGTACGTTATTTTTATTTTAATGATTTTTATAAATTAAAATGAATAGTTTAATACAAAACTTAAAGTATTTAGAGTCTCTCACTGACACCTGTATAAGTATAAGAAATTGTCGGGTTCTTCCTTAAGTAATTTTTGATAAAATTATTTCCTTCAATAACTTTGCATATATTAAATGAAATATTATTATAATGCATCGATTTTTAAGATTTTATACTATTTAATATTTCATTAAATAAAATTAATTTAACTTATAGTATACTTTTTAAAATATAAGTAAATATTGACTATATATATATACAGTGAGTTGTAATTCTCTTGTTAACAATCGTGAATCGAAACAAAATTTGGGGATACTTCCTTTGTAAGAAAGGTTAATGGGCTAATGGCGTTTAGCGTTAAAGCAACTTTCTTTCCGTCCTTTTTTATTTTTCCTTATTAAAAGTGAAGACTAAAAAAGGAGGTAGCATTGCCTTTTGAAAGGGCCAATGTACCCGAATGCACCCACCACTATCAAATCATTACACCATCATCTGAGGGTTAATTTAATTTTAATACTATTTATTATTTAAAGTATTATTTGAAGAATATTTGTGACTCTTTTTAGAGTTTAGTTACATTACCATTCTTGGTCTGTGTCAGTCAGATCTCAACTAATTGGACACATGACTTTATCTTGTTTTACCTTTCCATTTGTCAAAAAAGGTTGGAGCGATGACAACTTAGCTCTTCTTCGATAAACTACATTTTATAATCCATAAATAAAAAACTATGGATGAATTATCATATTCCCGTATTATATTGACCTCAATAGATGATTTAAACATTTTCTGATGAAGCTTTTTTGAAGTATTTATTTAAATAACTTTTTCATATTAAACTTTACGATAACGGAACTTATTTAACATTTTTTACTAAAATAAGAACATATTTATGTTTATTATTTAAATAGTCATAGAAGACCACTTTTGTCCTCATTAAATGCATGTGATGTGAAGGCCTGCCTTCACTCCCCTTTTGAAACCAGAGAGAAATATATTTCTACAAAAGTAGTGCATACATAATCTTGAACTTAGCACTATTGTGGCATTACTGGTTTTTAGCATTGATGGTTGATTTCCTTCTTGTAACAACGAGATGCCACAGGTGCAATTTTAACTGTTTTGCATTTGCTTGCTTTTGTTTTACTAGAATTAGGGAATGAGTTGTGCGGTCAAGTTTCGTGATTTCGTTTAAATGCTAAAGAACTAGTTTGGAACAAAGGGGTTTGGATTTCTTGGTATCCTCAAATTTAAAAAGTAAAATAGGTTTACCATAAGTAGATACCCTTCTAAGAGGGTCAATAGCTACATAATGGGTAGCTTTACATTCGTGTCGTATGACAATAACTACACTTATGTGTTTGAAAAACCGTTAAAAGTTGAGTTCAACATAACCTACATTTTTTTCTAATCTATAAGTTTACTTGCTTAATCATTTATTGTATTAGAATGCATTGAAGTCAGTTTTGTAGGTTTCCAACATGAATTCAAACATGCACTCTGACGATGCGGAACTCAGCGCATTACTTATCTGTGAGCAGTTTATAAGTATTATTATTTTCACTTCTTTCTGTTTGAGTTTGATCTTACTTAAAAGCAATATGACAATACCTAACTAGAGAGTTGCGAAAAACAAATCCTTAAAGGTAACACATGAAGAGCAGGAATTAGACAGTCTCGTACATTTGGCCTTTCATAGTTCTCACTGTTATTTGCGCTGCATGTTCCCATAGTATGGCTTCCTCCCCAAACCGAGACAAACAGTATTGAGGGGACTTAACTTTTACATTTTATCACCCAATTCCTTCATAAACACATTTCACAAAATTCTTTTATAAATTTACTACTACACAACTGAATCCATGATTTGCAAAAAATTACAATTGTTCCCGTGCATAAAACAGAACAAAAGGTCAATTTCGCAACACGAACCATAATCAATCTCATCACACCATTGTTACACATACACACAAATATACAAATTTATAACCTTATTTTATAAGTAATGGATTATTTACACATGAACTAATATTATTCTGAGGCATAATTCAACCAGGTACAAAATAATCCATTTTTTCCACCGGAAGGTTCAAAACAGATGTCTCTACCTGTACAAAAAGGCAAATATTTAACAGTATTCAGATTTCAGAAAGATTAGAAGCCTCAATGGGAAACATTAAAACAAAAAATCTCTTTTAATCATTAATTATTGGCCTTTTCAGCATACTCCTCTAAAAACAAGATATAAAAGAAAAGTAAATGTAAAAATATAGAAACTGATACGAGTAATTAATATTTCATCCAATGTCACCTACTTACATGCTGATAATTAATGGATGCACTTTACCACGTTCTGATGTTAATAACCTCAACATCGTTAAGCAACGCAATTTCAAATATAGACTTTATAATAACCTCAACAGACACAACGCACTCAATAGACTAAAATAGAAGTTAATGAACTTCGTATATGAACTTTACCCCTTTATTAAAAAATAACATAACCTAGCCTAAAATTTTGGGAAACTTTTTTACTTTTACACGCTTAAGACAATATTTAGAAGAAAAAAAAAACAAAAACAAGATGTAATTGTCATTGAAGCCAGGGGCTCATTAAAAAGGTTATTGCTCAATTTAGTCGCTGAAGCCTGAAAGCTAATAGAAAAAAATTAAATGTGAGACAAAAATGTACCTCGTCAAATGGAACAAAGACAAAGGGAGTCATGCCCCTTTTATGTGAGACAGCTGGTACATCCGGGTTGTGTGTTTCATCATCCTGCCATCCTTCAACAACTCCAAGAATGTCCTCCTCAGGTGCAGTTGCCTCATTACTGTTTACACCACTAGTAACAAGTGAGATCAAATCCATCCGATTGTTGGCCCCAACTGTTGTTCCTCTTATCCTGTACCACATATAGGAATGTCCAATTCTTACTATCAGTAAAAATTAGTTTCAGAAGAACAAGAATAAAAAAATTATAAAATAATGCAAAACCCTAAACTATCAAACCAGGCCAAGACTAATGTGAACCAAATTTCATTGTTTCATTTCTAAGCGACCTCTATTGACTTTCCACTTACTGTTTGTCCATTATTAATACTTTTCCTGCATCAGACTGGTCCTAATTTTCAAATGTCAAAGCATACAAAAAGCCTCAGAAATAATACATGAATGTCAACCAACACAAATGATAGTTATTCCTAAAAAATCTGCCCTCTGCTAAGGTCATTCTTCTCCAATCATAGCTTATTCTATCCTTCTTTTGGCTCCCTTCACAAGCATAAACAATGATGCCTTATTTCATAATCTACACTGAAAAGGACACTCCTACTCAATCTAGCCTTTTTTAGTTGGCAAGAGAGATGGGAAGGGTATTGTTCTAAAAGGCATCAATTGGATACCGAGGAAATCCAAATCATTTTTCTTAATTCAACATTTTATCCTCTAAATTCAAACTTTCTCTAAATTTTTTATTACAATGAAAACATTTTTCTAAATTCAACATTTCATCCTCCACCTAATGACAATAACTTAGATGAATATTTGATCTAGTTTCTTACATAGTAAGCAATATTGTCAAAAATCGGTTATAACGGGGTTATAACGGAAAAACGGAACAATTTGAACCTAAACCGCCATTCACCATCCGTTATATGAAGGTTTATGGTGGTTTCCGCCATTCCGATATGGCGGGCGCCATGGTCGTGGTGCCGTGATGGTTTATAACGGGCATGGCGGTCATGACGTTTTTTTTTTAAAAAAACCTATTTTTGGGCTTTGAAACAGGCCCAAATGGAGTGAGCCCTAAGTTAGTGCTTGTCTCCGCGTCTCATCTCTCTTCTCCCTCACAGTCGCGACTTTTTGCACTTCAAGCAGAGCTCATGCCCTAAGCATCTCTGGTGACCTTCGTTCAACACAATCACTGCACTTCGGTCACCTTTGCAACCGACAACCTGAAACGCGGCGACTGTGGCAGCCCAACACTCCGACCAGCAACCACGAAGTGCGAACAACACTTACGGAAGTCGAAACTGCCCCTAATCACCTCCGTTCACCACCCCTTCGTCCCCTTTCTGGCCGGCGACCTGAACCGTGGTGGCCCAGTACTCTGGCGAGATACTCCGGCAAGCAACTCCGACGAAACTAGTTTTTTTTTTTTTCAGTTTTAATCCTACTTTTTTTCTTTCCAGTTTTAATGTTCCTACATTTATTTTTTCATTTTTAATCCTCCTCCTCTTTTTATTTTTTCAGTTTAAAACCTTTTTTTTTCAGTTTTAAATTTTAATCCTCTTTTTAATTTTTCCTACTCCTTTGAGTCTTTTGTTAATGAATTCATTGTTGCATCTGCAGCAACAATTTTTTAATCCTAATTCTTCTACCAATTGGGTCAATTTAAATTTCTATTTTATTCTAAATTCTAAACTAACATTGAGTGCCTATTTTATTATTGTTCTTTTTCTTATTTTTAGGACAATGTCTAGCAATCCAATTCCAAGCCAAAGTCAAACATCCTCAAACTCTGTTAAGAGAACAGACATAGGATGGAAACATTGTCATCCTACCAAAGAGAATGATACCAACGAAACTATCTGCAATTATTGTAAAAAAATCATGAAAGGAGGAATTACAAGAGCAAAGCAACATTTAATGGGAAAGAAGAGAAATGTTGCACCTTGTTAAAGTGTTCCACAAGAGGTTAAAGATGAGTTGTGGGTACTTGAGAAAAATAAGAAGATGAAAGAAAGTGAGTCATGTCAAAGAGTAATGGAAGATGTGACTCTTGGTAGTGAAGATACATTGGAGGGAGATTTAAGAGAATTAGAAGTTGAGACACTTGGGGCCAATGAAAGGAAGAAGGTTGCTATGAAAAAGGGGCCTATTGACCTTTTTTGTAAACGTCCAGAAACAGCAATTGCAAAAAACAAGAAGGAGAAATTGAAGCAAATAAGTATAAGGGAGAGTTGTGACAAGGAAGCTATAGCAAGGGTCCACCAATATATAGCCCGGTTTTGGTATCAAGCTGGACTATCTTTTAATATGATCAAATTGGAGAGCTTTCATGACATGGCTGCAGCTATTGGGTCTTTTGGACCACATTTGCGACCTCCATCTTATCATGATATAAGAGTTCCACTTCTCCAAAAAGAGATGGAGTATACTGAAAAATTGATGAAGAGTCAAAAGGAACATTGGGCTAGTTTTGGATGTTCCATCATGTCAGATGCTTGGACGGACAAGAAGCAAAGATGCATTATTAATTTTTTGGTGAACTCTTCTGTAGGGACAATGTTCATTAAATCTGTTGATGGGTCTAATTTTGTGAAGACCGGAGAAAAGCTATTTGAATTACTAGACTCTATTGTAGAGGATATTGGGGAGGAAAAAGTTGTCCAAGTTATCACGGACAATGGGAGTAATTATGTTCTTGCTGGCAAGATGTTGGAAGCAAAAAGGAAGAAAATTTTTTGGACCCCATGTGCAGCCCATTGCATAGATTTAATGTTGGAGGATATTGGGAAGCTTCCAAATATCAAGAAAACAATTCAACGGGCAATTTCTCTTGTTGGCTTCATTTATAGCCATTCAAGCACCCTAAGTTTGTTAAGGTTTTATACAAACAAAAGGGAGCTAGTGAGACATGCGGTGACTCGATTTGCAACATCTTTTCTTTCTTTGGAAAGGATCCACCAAGAAAAATCAAATTTAAGAAAGATGTTTGTTTCGGATGAGTGGAATTCAAACAAATTATCAAAGGAAGCAAAAGGAAGAGAAGTATGTAAAACTGTTTTGATGCCTTCTTTTTGGAGGAATGTAGTGTACATACTTAAAGTCATGGCACCTCTTGTAAAAGTACTCAGACTTGTTGATGGTGAGAAAAAGCCAGCTATGGGCTATATATATGAAGCTATGGATAAGGCAAAGGAGGCTATTATGAAGTCTTTCAATAACAATGAGACTAAATATAAAGCCGTGTTTGAAATTGTTGATAGAAGATGGGATGTTCAGCTTCATCGCCCATTACATGCAGCTGGTCATTTTTTGAATCCAGAGATGTATTATGACAACCCTCAAATGGAATTTGATAGTGAGATTATAAGAGGGTTTTATGCAAGCATGAATAAGTTGGTAGGAGATTTGCAAGTGGAGCAAAAAATCATGATGGAGCTACACACTTATAAAGTTGCAGGAGAATTGTTTGGGACTGAACTTGCTATAGCAATGAGGAAAAAGGTTTCACCGGGTTAGAAACTAAACCTTGAGTTTTAAACTTCTATTCTACTAATTGTTCCATATTTAACACACTTTCTTTTGACTTTATAGCTCAATGGTGGAGACTTTATGGTTCATCAACCCCCAATTTACAACAACTAGCCATAAAGATATTGAGCTTGACTTGTAGTTCATCCGGTTGTGAACGTAATTGGAGCGTCTTTGAGCAAGTAATTAATTTGCTTTTGAAGAGTCTTATTAGTTCCAAATATTTTAAAATGTTTACTTAATTATTTAATTTAATGTTGCAGATTCATACTAAGAGAAGAAATAGGCTTGATCATAAAAAATTACATGACTTGGTCTATGTTAAGTATAATCAAGCACTCATGCGAAGATACAACCTTAAGGATGAAGTTGATCCCATTAGCCTTAATGATATTGATGAATGTAATGAATGGCTGGTTGGAGAGATGGATGGGGATGATGATGATGAAGTTGAAGCTCTAGATGAGAGGGTTTTTGGTGGAAATGATCCACTTACTTGGAATCAAGTTTATGATGCTTCAGGGGTTGGAGAGCCTCTAATGTATACTAGGCGTAACAAAAGGAAGCAACCTTCAAGTGGGGAAGGAGCATCATCTAAAAAAGCCAAAGGAGTGTCTTCTTCAACTAGGAAAGGAAAAGGAAAAGTTGTTGAAGTTGTTGAAGAAGATTCAGAAGATATTAGTGAGGAGTTAGAGGAAGAATTTCCAAATATTAACTTTGACAATTCAGAAGGTGAAGAAGTTGAAGGCTATGCCCCTTTGGCATTCAATGAAGAGAATGATTACATTGAGGAAGAGGAGGAGAATGATGATGATGAGGAGGATGATTAGATTAGCAAAATGCTTCTTGTACTCTTGTTTTTCTATGTTTTTTGTTGTGTTTTAATCAATTATGTTATGAGACAATGAATTATGGTATTGTTGTTATGATATTTAAGTATTTAAGTTGATATTATGTTGGTTTTAATTTAGTTTTGTTGCTTGTTATTTATTGTTTTGCTGTTTTTTTTGTATATAATATATATATATATATATATATAATTTTATTTTTTTTGTCCGCCATAGGCCGCCATGGCATCCGCCATAGAGTTATAAAGGATTTCTGGCCTCACCGCCATAGACCGTTATCCGCCATCGATAACCTTGATAGCAAGAATATAATGGCACATCATCCCAACCGAACAAGGGAGAGAATGGAAAAGATTTCATATGTGGTACTTCTTGTTAGCTTTACTTTTCAACAAGACATGTTAATCAGGCAAACTCATCACATACCTTAGGCGTATCCTCAAAACAGTAGGTCGGGTGCCTGGATACAAGACAGCAGCTTCAACCTGCAGTGATAGTATCAAATGAAATTGTCTCAACATCCATGTAAAGAAATATAAATATGCAATAAATTTCCTTGAAAGAAAATGTCTACTTAGATCTGCAAATAATGAAGATTAAAGAGGATAAAATGAGATGCAGAAGTAGCAGAAAAAACTCAACTACAAAATTTGATAAAAAAAGATATAGAACATTACCTTGTCATCTGACAATGTGTAGTGGCCACCAAAAACACAGTCTGCTTTAGACGATCGAAAGTTCATGCACTTCGCCACATCCTTGACCTTGTGAGATGAATTCTACATAACACAAAAATAACTTTCCATGAAATCCGATAAAAGAAAACATAATAACATACATATATACCAAGGGGGTCTAGCTCAATTGGTTGAGCAAGGTGTGTGAGTTGTTATAAACCGCTTGGTTCGATTCCCACTGATCAAAACATAAATAAATAAATGGATTCAGACAGCATTGAATTATAACCTTGTAAAGGAATCTCCCAGAAGGAAAAAATCTGATGTACCGGAAATAGCAGACCTGCAGAATATAGAGAAAAATAATATTGTGAATAAATGAAAACTAAACAAGATTTACGTACAACTTGCAGTTACAATGTCATTATTCATATACTGAAATTTGAGGACAAATATATATATATATATATATATAACCCACATACTTAAAGTCCTAAACAACTTTAAATGAGTGCAGGGTATCATCCTAGACGCATTGCTTTGTTGCCAAAAAACAAACAAAACAAAACAATGATTTCCCCCTGTAAATTAAACTTTACAAGTGAAAAAGTGGCATCAAACTGCATCCTATATATCCAGATCAAGCAACCACCATTGCACACATAAAATAAATGCGTAAAAGTGTAAAACAACCTGCAGAAAGGGAGGGGGAATCAAATTTTACATTAAAACCCTCCAATATTGACGATGAAATTAAGAAGACAAGACAATCTCTGAAAGCATTCCACTTTATCAAGGATAATAGAATACGCTTATCAGTCTTCTCCACCAATTATAATGGTTTATACAGAGAAATCTCCTATTCAAATACTATAATATTATATGGCCATAGTAAGAAGGAGCACTAGAGATAATACCCAAAATTCCCCAGACATACCCCTACAGTTTGGTTTTTCCAACTCTCTAGAGGTTCTGAAAAAAATTCAAAGTTACAGGTATATGATTTAATTAATGGGAATATATTATCCCAACCGCCAATAGAAACTGAAAATAGGGTTTTGATATACTTTCTACGTGAATTTGTACGACCAAGAAGCACATCATTTTCAAGTCTTAACACTTAATGGGTAACAAGAAAGGATAGCAGCTATCCAACTAATTATTGAAGTTACAGGGACTAATAAAAAGGTTATATTCCAGACTTATTGATTTATAAGTTCATTTCAAGTATATTGCATTAAAAATCATACAGAACAATGTTCGTAATTGTCACATTAAAATTCTAGGCTCCATATATTGTTTAGGAATTATAGATTCAGACAACTTTACAGTGTCAAGCAATTGGTGTTTCTAACTTAGTTAAAAAAAACTTGACATTATAAACTGATGAAGCTAGAATACTAAGTAAGGAAAACTAAGGACTATTTGGTTTGTTTTCTGTCATTATTTTCAGTTGATAGTTTTCATTTGTAATGACAAAAATGTCATCGTGTTTTCATTTTCTTTAGTGTCTACAAGTTCTAGTGGAAGAACTTGAAAACAGGATACAGAATGGAAACACAGCAACAGTTTTGTAGTTATAAATGAAAATCCGAAAATGAAAACAGAAATAAAGCAAATACCGTCTGACACTTCCAATTTGTTTATGACTATGCACACTACTACAAGCATCTTATTCCCAAAACATGATATTGATAAATAGTTGACAAAAAACCATTAATTACATGCTATTTAATGTCAGAATAACAAAGATTAACAAGTAGATATTGATGCATACCACATGTACTGGATTAGTGATTTTCCACTCAGCAACTCCAACTCGAATGTAGGTATTTCTACTCACATAAAGACCTGAAATGTGGGAGCATGGTAAGACAAAGGGGACATAAAAGGAATAGTAAAATCATATGCATCTCCTTTTAGCTTGAATTTAGAGTTCAAGTTCCTATTCTTCTTTTCTTTTTTGACCTTTTGTAGTGGAGGGGAGGGAGGGTCATCTAATCAATAAGAGTGTTAAGATGCTCAACATTGGCAAGGAATATGAGCAATCCTCCTCCTTTGAGCCAGCTTTTGGGGGTCCATTCCATTTCTAATATAGAAACATAGTCTATCAAGTCTTAATGTTGGTTACTTGCAAATATATAGATATGTAAACTTCATGGCCCAAATGCCATGTCCTAGGTATGGAGGGAGTGTGTTAAAATGTCTCACATTGATTAGGAAATAGGAATATGGTCAAAATACTCTTTTAAGGCTAGGCCTGCTAGGGAAGCCCTTCACTTTAAGATAGCTTTTAGAGCAGAGTTAGGCCTAATCTATTTCCAATAATGAGAACCCCACATTTAAATGTGATAAATTTCCATTATCCATGTCAAAAAATAAATAAATAAATAATTGGCCATCATGTGGTGCAGTGCTTCCAATCAATATGAGGAGCAGGAAAAAAAGTTATGCAATAAGAAATGACTAATCTTACCATCAGTCCGCAACCTTGGTCGTAACAGCCACATTTTCCGCCATGAGCCATCATATTTTGATTGAAGTATCTTGTAGTTTTCAACAATTCCAGAGAGCTTCATAGAAAGGCTCCATAATCAGAAATGCAATTTATATGCAGTGAAAGATCCATATTCAAAACCTTTATTGAGTTTACCTGCCAAGCCTTCAAGCATGCATTGCGCCAAAATACAGGGTTACGAATTGTATACCTCCATTTTCGACATACACAAGATGCCTTTCCCAAGTCATATGGAGTCATTCGAGCAAAAACCTATATAATATATTCAATTAATCTGTCTTAGAGTTTGCTGTTGCATACAACTACAGACCTTTCTTCATATGAATTTGCATGCATCTAATTCGTTCTAAAATCAGAGAAAAAGGACTTAAAGAAGTTCATATAAGTTTCAAACAAATGAAAGATCTAGGTTATTGATATTTTATTCATATTTTAAGAACAGTTTCTGAGTTCAAAGCTGCAGGACAATGACAATGAATAAACCATGGGTTTGTTTGGATAAATTTCTCCAAAAATTTATAGAAGAAACCAGGGGGGGAAAAGTTTTTCTATAAGCTAAAACTAGCTTATACATAAGCTAACTTAGAGAATTTAATATGAGAGAACTTCTACAAATCAATTTATGTACAAGCTAATTTTAGTTTATAAAGAACCTTATTTTATTTTTGCTTCATATTTTCTTTTCCTATAATAAGTAACTATGGTAAAGCTTATCCAAACAGATTCATTCTTGAAATCATCTCTCTCTCTCTCTTACACACACATAGCACATCACTCTTGAAAACTAAATTGAATGTATAAATAGCCTCTTAGGTTTCTAGCATACATAGCAACAGAATATTTGTCAACATGTTCCAAACTAATTTCATAAACATGATCCCAACTGTCCCACTCCCACATCAAATACTTTGACAGTTGGACCTCATATGACTGATCTGAAGTAATAGCAGCATGCAGCACATAACAAGTTAGTAACCAGTCTCATTGTCACTCCCACACAACGTACTTCGGTACTTCCACAGTTCCACCGTCAAGAACTACCACCAAGTCAATGATCAAAAAATGTAACTTGATGTGAAATACCTCAAAAAGCAGCTCATCGGGTAAGGAACGATGTAGAAGTGCGGGATCCACAAAAGGCCTTCTACTTGCACTCCCAAATGGCGCGACAGGTCTCACGTTAACTCCATAAAGATCTGAAACAAAACGCAACCAATGCGAAGTGAATTTTACCACCCAACCATACAATACAAATAATTCAACACTACAATAGAAAAATTGGAATAAGAAAAAGAAAGGGCAAAGTAACCACTGCAGCGCGTGACACATACCAAGCCATGGCCTCCTCGTAACAAAGTAGTTAACAGTCTTCAACCTCAAAACTGACTCGAGTTCGGAAGAAAGCGCTAACGCAAAATCTGTAAAAGGACGAAGATACACTCCAATGCTTGAGGTTAACCACTGTTCATAGAAATCCAATTTTCGAACATGAAATGAACTTAAATGCACAAAATCGCCGATCATCAATTCTTAATTTACCAATAATTCGAAAAGCCATACAAAATCAAGATAATTCTAGACAATTAACGAATGCCGAAAACCAATAACTTTAAAACAAAAAAATTAGAATAATTAATCGTGAGGGGTGAGATACCGAATTCAAAATATGGAAGAACAAGAGAGCATAAGTGCGGAGAGGAAATGGACGTGTACCTGAACCAGAAGCCATGGGGGAATACAACAGCAGAGTGAGGTTCCTTCACGAATTTCTCAGGCAAATTGATATGAACGACGAGAAAAGGGAATGGGTCTGTAACAATTGCAGAACGCCTCAAAACGGTGCCGTATGGACGTGGGCTAGGTACGACGGTACGCGCCCCAGTGCTTTGGCGGGTCCTTTTTGGTAAGAAACCTGACATCCCAATTCATGGTTCTAAAATTATTACCATTTTATGACACAAAAAACATAGTTCACTAATTCCATCTAGATACATCCAATGGTGATTGGATATGTTTAAAATAATAATAATAATAATAATAATATTCTTCTTCTTCTTCTTATTATTATTATTATTATTATTATTATTATTATTATTATTATTATTATTATTATTATTATTATTTAAGAACTTCTAAAATATTGAAATTTTAAAAACCTGGCATATATGCTGTAAAAAAAACTTACATATATCAATTTTAAAATATGTTTTATTCAGGGATTTAATTGAAATATACTTACTATTATCTAATCATGAATTATTATTTAAATATATTTAAAATAATTTATAAAAATGTTCAAATTTAAGAAAAAATATTTACATAACTTTTAAAATATATTTATTAAAAATTAATTAAATTATATTGACCGTTATCTAATTACGAAATATTAATTTTCCATATAGTTTAAAATCATTAACTTTTAAAATAATCAAATTAAAATGTTTTTAATTAATAATGTAAAAAAAACTTTATAATCAAAAGAGTTCAATAGATATATATTGTCTAGAAAATTATATACTAGATTCATTCATTTAAACTAAAAAAAAACTAAGTGATTTTTTTTTAGAAATACTGTACTTTAAAAAAAAAGCAATGAAAATTACTTATTTATAAAATTATTTTAGACAAACATATCACAAAAATAGAAAACTGATTATTAAAAAAAAAAACAATTTTTAGAAGAAAAAAAATAAACAATTGCATTCAACGTTCACATATGGAATCTCCTATAACATATTAAGTAGTCTAAGTAGCTTGACTCTATTAAACCAACACAAATTTTTTGCACATGCTAAGTCAATAACCAAATTAGGATACTAATCCCTAATAACATGATTTTTCATATATCATCCCTCAAAATAGGAAGTATAGTATTCTTGTCAAGGTAGAATAGTTTGAGTATGAGTTTATCACAACATTAGCTTGCAAAACTAAGCCCTTTATGGTTTTAGCCCACCAATTACCTCTAATGAGATACCCTTTGCTCCACTTGTAACAATATTCAATATTAATGACTTCTTAACTTAAAATTGGATTCATGCATAAAAGTAAATTGAGTAAAATCAAAGTTGGCAGAGGATACCACATAACAAACTCCTCCTATCAATACGAAAATAAAACTTCAAAATAAAACATAATAAGTAGTCTAACATAATGTCCTAAAAATTTGATAACAGTAAAAAAGAAACAATCCTAATCTATGATACGCCCAATATCACACACCCTATCAAAACACCTAAAACAAGGACTAAGCCTAATCATCAGCATCATCAATGTTCTAATGAACCTCACTTGTAACAACATACACAAAGAGCAACATAGAAACAAGGGGAGTGAGAAACATCTATGTCTTACGACACGAAATTAGGTTGGATAGTCAAACACTCATAAGATAACACATATATCCTTATAATGCATACATATACAATTAAATATTCCAAATAAGGTATCAATAAATCATTCACAATTATATTTCATTCATCCTAATCACTCAATAAATGATGCATTCACACATGAGACACAATGGACATGGATTATGATTTGCATGTAACACCAATCACAAAATATATATAATGTATGTATGTATCGATTTGTCAATTTATCGATTTGCATGCATATGATGCATGTCATACGAGACTCAATGTTATATCATGTTTTCAATGCACATACTCAAACATTTTATCATTTACAACAATTTGTCAATTGCATTCCATTTGTAACATTTATTCATCATAGCATCACAATTCATACTTAATCATATTTGTCCATTAACACAATATGTAACACCTCAATTTTTGTAAAATATAATATAAGTATTTTATTAATAATTTTGATATGTTTGTTATTAATGAGAGCTAATTAATACTTATTTTATTATTAATTACTATATTTTGTGATAATTAAATATATTTGTTTTAGTAACTATTTGTAATTATTTTTTATATGAATATATTGTGAAGTTTTATAATTAAAGGTTATATTATTTAATTATTTATTAAATAAGGGAAGGGATTTTTTAGATAATTATGGTTGACGTTTTTTATTAAAGGGTTAAAGGGAGATTAAGTTTTTTTTTTTTAAAAAAAAAAAGTTGATAAGTTTTTATGTTCTCACTTTTCACGTATGTGTTTACGCTTTAAAGCTTGGAAAACTTTAAGGAGAAGGAAACCACCCTGAAGTTGATCATCTATTTTTTTCTGCTCAATAAAGTAAGGGGGAGTGAGAAACCTTGCTCTGGGTGCGGTGATATATGTTGAGTAATGGGATTGAGCCATAATCTTGTCTCTATTATATGTCTATGTGTGAGAGTTTTTTCTCAAATGTGTTTTTTTCTTCTCTATTTCTCCTTGAATGTTCTAATTGATGTAATTAGTATGTATGTACGAGTAGTGTTTGTGTTTGGCTTGTAATTGCAAATTTTGGTGTTCCTATGAAAAATCCTAAGAGAATACATTGCTAGTTATATGAGAAGATTGTTTGAAGACATAATTGTATGAGTAAATTATATTATTTTTAATGTTTATTGCATGATTTAGAACATTTTCACTGATTGTATGAATAGATTGATGATTTGGGATGCAAATACAAAAATCGTAGATTTTAGAGTTTTTGATCGCAGAAACCACGTTAAATGCCATTTCTAACATTGAGCATCAAGGTGGCAGAGAGCTAGAAGTGTTGCTTGTGATCCTCAAGCTAAGCGTGAGTTTCACATTGAGCGTGAGTTTCATGTTGAGCGTGGCTCAATCAAAGAGTCGGGATTACTCTCTAGAAGCCTTGCGTTGAGCGTAAGTTGCCCTGTTGTCCTTCCTTCCTTATTTGTTTAATGAATTATATTGGTGTAATGTGAATCTTATGTTACTTATCTCTTGTGATCTAGTAGTGATGTGAGTTCTCGTGTTATTCAATGTTAATCTTTAATGAATACAATTGATGATTATATGATATAAGATAAATTGATATGGTTGAAATTGTTGGTCCTGTTAGAACACGAATCTAGAAGGGGGTTGAATAGATTCTTCACTTAGATGGCTTCCTATGGTCTTTAAGAACTTTCTTTTTAATTATTTAATTTCTTAGACGTACAATTCAATTAAAGATACATAATATCATATTTATTACACAATAAAACAAATTCTTGTAATCTAAATTGATTTTAGTAATTACCTTCTTTCACTTATTACCAAATTGCATATACAATACTCAAAATTTGAATCAACAATTGATAACATTCATAGAAATAGTTTCTTAAATTTCTTGAAATTATTTTTACCAATTTTAACAAAAATTATATCAAGATATGAGGGTTAAGAGAGAATTTGCACAGTGATCTATATTGGTTCAATCATACAAGGCCTACATCCAATTTCTGACTTAGTACCCTACTAAATCAAGTCATTCCACTATAATATTCTTTACAAACACAATAAATAAAAATAATCTTATATTATAATATAAATCATAAATCATTTATTGAAAATCTAAAATATAATTTATATATTTAAAAATATTCATTTATTCAAATTTTAAATATAATTAAAAAATTAATATTTTTATATCAAATTCAAGAATTTAAAAATAATAAATTAATCATAATACCAATTACATCAGCATACTTTTATCTATTTTATTTTTTATCTATTTTATTTTTACTAGTAAGAAAAAGGTATTTCGTGTCTGCATTGTGGAACTTCCATCTGTTTTAAAAGTATAGATGGGAACAGTGGTTTCTTTTTCTCCAAGGGAAATCATCATAGTGCTGAAAATAACATCGCTTATAAAAATGTAGAATCTCTGTTTGATGAACAAGAGAGTCCAGATAAATCAAGAGTTTTTGGCATCACACATTCAGAAGGAGATACTGATGGCTCCTCAGAACAATCTGACTACATTGATGATGAGTACAATCATTTTCCAATACTGGAAACAGAAGAGGTATGTTTTCAAAAAGAAAAAGAAATTCCATTATTACCAAATGTTGAAGCACTCATCGTGCCAACAAAATATCATGTGCCTATCAAAGTCATTACATTCATTGATACTGTTGCATCCAGAACAATGCTCAATCCTGCAATATTACCCTCAAAATTATGGACAACTCAAGTTCATAAATTTATAGCCGCAGATGGAAAAACTTATCAGAAAGATTTAGTCACATCCTCCAAGATTAGAATTAAACTCTTTCTAGACTGTACAGTTTGGATGAAAGTTATTGGAGATAGTCTTCATGGAAAGGATATTCCCGTTGGCAGAGATGTTTTAGTCTAGAGCACCAAGTTACAAATTCTTGCTCATGGATTGAAATATAGAAGAGAATTTAAACCTTTTTGCAAACTTTCAAATATGTTCTCACTAGCAGAAATCCCTCTAGGATTTGAAGATATTGGAAATCAACTCAAGAAACTATGTGCTGATATTCATCATCTTTTCAAACATCCACAACCTTTGTGGACAAGAAAAGAATTCTTTGTTCAACTTCCTTTCAAAATGAATGAAGATATCAATCCAACCAAAGCTAGTCACCCTGGAATGTCACCAAGTGAATACCAAGCAACCAAAGAAGAATGCCAAGAATTGCTGAAACAAGGACTCATTGAGCCCACTAACTCAAGTTGGGCATGTACGGCATTTTATGTGAATAAAATAGTTGAACAAGTCAGAAACAAAAGGCGACTTCTCATTCTTTGAACATATTTCTAAAGGATGACAAATTTCCTCTTCCAAAGATATATTCACTTCATGCCTACATAAAAGATGCATACTATTTCTCAAAGTTTGATCTTAAATCTGGATTTTGGCAGATTGGCCTAGATCCTAAAGATCGACCTAAAACAGCTTTCTACATCCCAAATGCTCATTACCAATGGACAGTCCTTCCATTTGGTCTGAAAGTTTCTCCTTCATTGTTTCAGAAAACCATGGTTCGAATCTTTGAAATAAAATGATTCATGTAAAAATGAAAATCAAAAGTAATTATTGTAAAAATGATTTATTAGTTTCAAATTCTTAATTTTAATTAAAAAATATTTTTTCTAATTTTTTAACGTAAAAGAGTATAATAAACTTAGTCAATCTACACTCTAACTTCCCTCACTTGAAGATTGACTCAAAATAGGCAATAACCGAGAAGAAGTAGAATTCCTTGCCGAAGCTCAACCCGGAACTTCAATCCTCCCAAAGTAAGCTTCCTAATATGAATTTCAAGAAAAACCAAAAGGCGTTAGTGATCTAGAGAGGAAAGGAGTCATACAGAGAAATTTGGGAGAGAAAGGAGCTCACAGACCCAAAGACCTTCCCTCTAAAACTCACATTCTCCTGAAGGCCCCCAACCCCTATTTATAGACTTTTCAGATTAGCCAGAACGGCCTGTACCAATACCGGAACGGCCCGTTCTGAACTCCCTCAATACGCACAAAAATCACCTGCAGAACGGCCCATTCTGGAACTCATCTGGAACGACCCATTCTACCTCCGGAATGGCCCGTTCTCCTTCTGGAACGGCCCGTTCTCCTTCAGTAGTTTGGAATGGCCCGTTTCAAATTTGGGAACGGCCCGTTCTGGCTACTGAATCTTTTCTTTTTACGTTACAATACTCCCCAACAAACAGGAATTTTCGTCCTCGAAAATAGGTCTACCTGAAAAGAGGAATGGATATTGTTCCTTGAACTGACTCTCCACCTCCCAGGTAACCTCACCAGTAGCTGCATCCCAAACAATCCTCATCAAGTTGATGGACTTGCCACGAAGCTCCTTCAACTTGTGATCAACCACAGCTACCAATTTTTTTCTCATAGGTCAAGTTCTCTCTAACTCGCACCTCATCCATCTCTACCACATGACTCAGGTCTCTGATGTACTTCCTCAACTATGAAACGTGAAACATGTTCTCCCTCTTCAAACTCTAGAGGTCTCCTCCTCCTATCAGCTAGGACTTTTGTCGACTCTGGGTAGCCCTCAACTTTTTCTGAATCTATCTCACCATCCCAGTAGTCTAAAGAACTAACTCTGGACCAACCACTACTGACTCACCCTCCTGATACCAATATAATGGAATCCTACACCTTCTGCCATACAAAGCCTCAAAAGGCACCGTGCCAATACTCAAGTGATAACCGTTATTATAAGTGAACTTTACCAATGGTAACACCTCCTCCCAGCTACCTAGATGATCTAACACACAAGATCTCAAGAGATCCTCAAATGAATGAATTGTCCTCTCCGATTGACTATCTGTTTGTGGATGATAAGCGGAGCTCAACTCAACCTCGTCCCCAAAGCCTGATGCAGAGTCTGCCAACCTGGAAGTAAACCTTGGATCTCTATGAGAGATAATACTGGAAGGCACTCCATGCAACCGTACTATCTCTCTAATATACAACTGTACAAGCCTCTCCAAGGACCACCTCTTGACAAGAAGAAAGTGCACACACTTTGTCAACCTATCAACAATCATCCAGATAGAGTCACTATTCCTAGCTTTCCTAGGCAACCCAACCACAAAGTCCATAGTGACACTATCATACTTCCACTCGAGAATCTCCATCAACACTAAGCTTAAAGCACTAAGCTTAAAACCAGCTGCCCTCTCAGTACCAAGCAATTCCAAAATCCTCAACAACTCTGGATCCTGTAATTGCTTAGTTCCCACCTGTCTCAAGAACTCATTAGTTATGGTGATCATACAACAACTAATGTGATCTTGAACAACCTTCACCTCTAGTCTCAAATCTCTAAACTTCTTAATCAGTTCCAACTCCCTAATCATCATAATCGACACATGAATGGATTTCCTACTCAATACATCTGCTACCACACTCGCCTTCCCAGGATAATACATCAACTGGAAATCAAAGTCCTTGAGGAATTCCATCCACCTTCTCTACCTCATATTCAACTCCTTCTAATCACTAAATACACTGAATCTCGCACCACACAGATAGTGCCTCCACGACTTCAAAGCAAACACCACAACTGCAAGCTCCAAATCATGAGTAGGATAATTCCTCTCATGAGTCTTAAGTTGCCTTGAAACATGTCACTACTCTCCCTCCCTGCATCAACACACTGCCCAACCCTTAGTGAGAAGCATCACAGAACACTTCAAAATACTTACTAGTGTCAGGTAACACCAAAACCAGAGAAGTAGTCAATCACCCCTTCAATTCCTGAAACTCTGCTCACAAGCGTCCATCCAAACAAAAAGTTGATCCTTCCAAGTCAGTTAAGTCAAAGGCATTACTATTAGAGATAAACCCTCTATGAATCTCTAATAGTAACCCGTTAACCCAACAAAACTCTCAATCTCCGTAAGAGTCCTCGGACGCTCCCACTGAATCACAGCCTCCACCTTGAAAGGTGGTGCTTTTTTTTTATAAGCAAAATAGAATTGACAAGAGTACAAATGGTACTCTAACCTATATACACATAGTTTTTTACAAAATAACTTAAGAAAGTTATCCAATCCACGTCAACCCAAAAACTCACAAAAAGAACGACTTAATTAGCTAATAACCAACAAACTTCTCGTATCCCAAAATGCTAAATATTCATTTATTCAAATTTTAAATATAATTAAAAAATTAATATTTTTATATCAAATTCAAGAATTTAAAAATAATAAATTAATCATAATACCAATTACATCAGCATACTTTTATCTATTTTATTTTTTATCTATTTTATTTTTACTAGTAAGAAAAAGGTATTTCGTGTCTGCATTGTGCTAAAAAAATTAAAAGAAAAAAAATAAGAAGTTACTCATAAAAAAGTAGTTATTAAAAAATAAATAAAAAATAAAATGATTCATGTAAAAATGAAAATCAAAAGTAATTATTGTAAAAATGATTTATTAGTTTCAAATTCTTAATTTTAATTAAAAAATATTTTTTCTAATTTTTTAACGTAAAAGAGTATAATGGTCCAAAAAGATGGAGACTAAAAAAGTTACCAAGAAAGATATATATTAATATAGATTAATATAAATTTTTATTTTATCTTTAATAAAAACATAAAATACCTTGACTCCATTAGTATACATAATTTATTTTTAATTTTAATTATATAATAAACATTTAATATAATTGCCATGCTATTCTGCTAGGAAACACCTTGAGAATTACATGGAATTTAAACAGTAAAACAGATGAAGATAACAAACCTCTGATGCACGCAAATATTCATAGATTTCATGGACAATGGATGCACAGAATTGTGGGTCCTTGATGCTGTAGTCAATATCCACAACTCCATTTGCTTCTATCTTCGGGATGGTATCAATATCACTACCACATATTCTCCCTGAAATAAGGGGGGAGGTATGCAAACAGCGGTAAAACAAGTATTCCAGTCTGTAACTTGTAATTATTGAATAGGGTATGTGAATGATTTAAATCAGCCAAAGCATAAGCAGAGGGCCAGGTGAGCAAATAAGATTCAGCCTTTCAATACCTGCTATTTTTGAAGACTCTGAAATATTGAGAATGTTAAATGTCCTATTCTCAATTGATCTGGTGGATATGACATTATCATATTCAAATTCCAAACTTAAGGAATCCCTGGTTGACATGCTCTCACTTTGTGAAACAGAGCCGCCAAAGGATTTACTTGGAGAAATGTCCGTCCACCCCGGAGCACAAACCACTTTATCAATGAATGGGGCAACGAAGGATTCAACTCCATCCTTGGATTCACCACTTTTGGTCGAATGTGCCTCTTTGGAAAGTACCAGTCGACTTGATTTTTCACTCAATGGGGCTTGCAAAGTGCCTCTCTTCTGCAAACCAGCCTTCTTTGTCTTGGCAGTTTTGGACACACATGGAACCTTCAAATAATAATAACTTTATAGAAATCAATCCCAATTCTATGTATGCATGAACCATGCTTGCCCATTAAAACAAAATTCTAAAGATGACAACACCAATTGCCAAGTCTTTTGATAAAAATGAGAATAAACCTCACTATAAACTGCGTCACGCATGTCATTACACCATTCTCACAAGATGCACACACATACATGCAATTCACATGCAAACTCACTAAGACAAGTGCCAATAAACAGAGCAAACATAACCAGCGATGATTCAACATCAATCACAACATAGGCAAACGGAACACAAATTCAGAATACCGTTACAAAAACGAATTAAAAAAATTAGACAGAACCAGTAAGAGAAAATTATTAAAGAGTACCATGGGCTTAGAGAAAGAGGCCCTTCTGTTATTGGATACATCGGCGAGAGCGGGACGCTTCTTTGCCGTCTGATCCTTCACCGCAGTAACCTTCTTCTTGCTTGAATTTTCCGAAACGGAAGACCTCTTCTCGGGAGAGGACAGGAAGCGTCGGTTTCGGGTAAACATTTTGTTGTTAGGGTTAAAAAATAACCTCTCGCTGCAAAAAAAAATCCGATAGGATCAGTTTTGTTGCAAAAAGAAGAAATGAATCGCACGAACAGAGAAAACAGGTCGTTAGATTTGGCGGAAAGAGAGAGAAGAGAGGAGAAAAACAAACCTAGAGCGTGATGGATGATTGATTGAGAAAGACGAGCGTATATTTTCGGATTGCAGGGAAAACACTTCTCAGAGGATATTTACTTTGCGAACGAAACGCTCAGAAGAGAAAGTTTGAGTTCGGATACTTGTTTCTGAAAGCGCGAAACGCTCGAGTTTTAGGCGGACAATTGTGACGGTCGGATTGGAATCGACATGAGATCTGGACCGCCCTTTTGTTTCCATGGGTTGTTAACGCATGACGTATCCAACAAATTTCATCCCTGCGAAATAAAATATTTAATAAATAATTAAATTGCTTGTAAAAAAATAATAAATAAATTACTCATTACTCATGTTAATAATTAATAATGGACTAATTACCATTTATATAGTTTCATAAAAAAATATTTTTATAATTTTAAATTTTCTATTTTAGTTTATATATATATATATAAATTTATTTTTAGTTTCTAAAATTATAAAAAAAAAATTGTCTTTATCGTTGTATAGATTTTTTCTTTTACTATAATTGCATTCCCTATAAAAATAAATGTCAAGGATTAAAAATGGGATAATAATAATATCCATAGAAACTAAAATATCATATTTTTTTACTATAATGATCGTGGAAGCCACATTCTGAAAACACATATTAGTTGTTAACTTTGAAAATAATATGTGGATCATGATCATAGACAACAACAAAAATAAAAAAAATAAAATACAAAACATAGTAATGTAGGAAAATAGATTAAAAAATATGTTATTTATTAAATTGCTTGTATAATTAATTAATTGTGGGATGAATTGTTTGTTTAATTCATTAATTATGGATCTTCATTAATTTTATAAAATTTCTTTTTTTTTATCTAACAAGATTATAATAATGTCATTAAGATTTGAACATAAATTATGTGCATTTTACTCTAACTATTTATTATTAGGCAATCTCGGTGATTTCATACAAATTTTTATATGTATAATCTCTTTCAAATTAAAATTGACTTGACTTTCACATTAATGTGATATTTAATGATATTAATTTATTATTAAATAAAATATAATTATCTTAAACTATATATATTTATATATACATGTATAAGTTATCAGATATTTGAAAAATTTTTAAGTATTATATAATAAAAAAAATAATTGTATTTATTAAAACTTTAAATTTAATGATTATTCATAAAATATATTTCAAAGCAACTAAAAGAAACATTAATAATATAGAAAAAATGTCAATATAATATATACATAAATTGATAAATAAATTAGTATATATAATAAAGATTTAATTATAAAAATATTAAATTTTCACTTTAGTTTGATTGTCTTTTATTCTTATCCGATAATCTTCTACTTTGTTATTGTTCTAGTATGGAAAAATGTACTATAAAAGACCTAGTCGTCATCTAAATATAAAATATTAGGATGTGTAATATGTTTTTCTTAATGACTAGACGTCTCTATTTATAGCAAAGTTACCATTTATGAGTTTCATGATTTTTGAAGTTTTTGTCCTAAAATCTCATAATGATTAGTGTTATGTTATGAAATTCAATTTATGCTTTAATATCGTTGATTTTTGTATTAAATCTTCCAACTCGCCAAATATTCCACAATCCCCAAACTCAAACTACTAACACAAACATTGTTTAATGAGTAAACCTCTTGGAATATTTTTAAGCCAATACACTTGCCCCCAGCCTAAAACACAAGTGCATAAAGGTTGTAGGCAACTCTTCATTTTTTGTCGATTAGTCGATGCCTTTTAGAATAATCTCGAAACGATTCACTTGCCCCTAGCCTTAATCCTTATTTTTTTTTGTGATGGCCAGTAACAAGTCGGTCTTACTCACATCTTTTAAAGTCAATTTTTTTTTTCTATATAGTGGTTGGCCACAAATTGATCCTACTCTTTTTTTTTTCTGAATTGATTTTTTGTGTGTGGCGACTAGTGGCAAGTAAGTCATACTCACGTCTTTTCGAGTCAATTTTTTTGAACATAGTGGTTAATTGCAAACTGTTCTTACTCATGTATTTTTTAGTTAATTTGTGCATGATGGCCAGTTGCAAGCCAGTCCTACTCACGCATTTTTAAGTCAATTTTTTTTGTGTGATAGTTATTTGTAAGTTAATCCTACTCACGTCTTTTTGAGCTGATTTTTTGACTCAAGTCTTTTTGAGTTAATTTTTTATGCATGATGGTCGATTGCAAGACAGTCTTACTCACGTCTTTTTGAGTCAATTTTTTGTGCATGATAGTCGATTGCAAGTCAGTCTTACTCACTTTTTTTTGGATTCGATTTTTTGTGTGGTGGTTAGTTGCAAGTCGATCCTATTCATGTCTTTTTAGTCTAATTTTTATGCATAGTGATTGATTGCAAAGCGATCCTACTCATGTCTTTTCGAGTTGATTTTTTGTGTGTGGTGGTCAGTTGTAAGACGGCCATACTCGCATCTTTTTAAGTCGATTTATTGTGCATGGTGTTCAAATGCAAGGTGGTCCTACTCACATCTTTGTGAGTCGATTTTTGTGCGTGGTGGTTGGTTGCAAGGCGACCTTACTCACATTTTCCAAGTCTTTTTTTTTGTATGGTAGTCTATTGCAAACCGATCCTACACATGTCTTTCCAAATCGATTTATTATGCATGGTGGTCAGATGCAAGGTGGTGCTTTTTTTTTATAAGCAAAATAGAATTGACAAGAGTACAAATGGTACTCTAACCTATATACACATAGTTTTTTACAAAATAACTTAAGAAAGTTATCCAATCCACGTCAACCCAAAAACTCACAAAAAGAACGACTTAATTAGCTAATAACCAACAAACTTCTCGTATCCCAAAATGCTAACAGCCAATGTGCAATATTAAGAGAGGCAGACACTAGGAGAATTGGACCAAGAAAAGAAATTATACTTGAAAGAAGAGAATCTGACCCTTAACCATCTCCATGAGCGTAATTGTACCAGATTTAGCATTTCAAAAACATGAGTTATTTTAGAGCTGGATATGCAAGGTGGTGCTACTTATGTCTTTTCAAGTCAATTTTTTGTGTGTGGTGATGGGTTGCAAGCTAGTCTTACTTATGTCTTTCTGAATCAATTATCGATAGTGTATAATCATGTCAAAGTTTCACATATCTCTTCTTCATGTTTGGTTATTTAATTTGAAATGAATCAAACAGACAAACAAAAAATTATAGTCATAATAGTTGACTAATAACTGAAATTATGAAATATATACAAAAATTAATATAATACAATTATTTTTAAATTTTTCAAATTTGATATTCAATTAAGGTCACACCACACATGTTGATGTATGATTGATTCAAATCACATGTCTTCATTGTCTTTAATTAATTGTTAAAAATCAAAGTTCAATAAATCTTTGAATATGTGAACCTAACAAAATCCACAAAATAAATAATTTTGATGAAAAAAATAATGATTAACAGATAATCAACAAATATTTTTATCCATTATTTTTCACCATACAGACATCATATCTATTTATTGACATTCAAAACTTGAATTCTAAAATTTTATCATCTACATATCAACTACTTTAATTTTTCTACTATGAACGGTTTAATTATTATTTTGCCTTGTAAGAATTTTAATATAAAATAATATACATGAAAACCTTCTCCACGAATAACATTAATTAATATTGCATATATGGTTTTAAAAAATCTAAATTTCATATACGTGAACTTAATTATTATCAAAATAACCTTTCCATGAGAATGATCTCGTGGATACACAAAATAAATGAATGAAGAAATATTTAAATAAAAAGACAAGTTCGTGCAAATAAATGAAAAAATGAGTAAAAGATACACAAATTATCAAAAAACTTGCCAAAAAATAAATTTAAATACAAGTATGAGACATAAAGTGGTTAAAAAAGACTTTGAACATTAGAAAAAAAAATTTGTTGAAGGCATTCCTTATATTTTAAATAGATAATAAATTTGTTGGAGGTTGAATAGACAATCAAAAGTTATTTTCCTATTTTTAAATAAGAAAATAATTTTTATGTGATAGGAGTGATATTTAAAAAAATACACCAAATTCTTCAAATTAGATATTTTAAAATTAGCTTATATGTTTAAATAGCAATGAAATTATAATATAATATTCAAATAAACAATAGTAATAATCATTATATGAATTAAATCCAATACAAAAATGTAGGATCTCATTGTGTACATCATCAATTGGCCATGTTTAACTTAGTTTATGGACAAACAAAATTATTAAAAAGTAATTCATATATTATATATAACGATGCATTTTTTAAGTTTAGAACTATATATAAATGATCTGGTAAAATAAAATCGGACATTAAGAAAAATGAAAAATTAAATTGGATATTTAACTATCTTTTATTTCAAGTTTGTTAACTACGTAAACATGTTACATTCAAGAAGCCTCTAGTGGTGGAGTTGAAGTTTAACCACAAGGTCGGAGATCGTAGTTGTAGTGGTCACAAGAAGAGTTCCTCTAAAACTCCACATGGTGTCAAAATGTTTCGTTATGGAAGACGTACTAGAAAAGACCTGACTGCAATCTAAATTTGAAACATTGAAAATGTGTAATCTATCTTTCTTTAAGACCACAATTCTCTAGTAGAGTTACCATTTATGAGTTTGAGTTTCATGTTTTCTGTAGTTTCAATCCTAAAATATTAGAATGATTAGTGTTATATTATAAAATTCGATCTATGCATTAATGACATTGATTCTTGTATTAAACCTCTCAACTCGATAAATATTCGTCAATTCTCAAATTCAGACGATTAACTTAAATATTATACAAGAGTTATTTTAGAGCTGGATATGCAAGGTGGTGCTACTTATGTCTTTTCAAGTCAATTTTTTGTGTGTGGTGATGGGTTGCAAGCTAGTCTTACTTATGTCTTTCTGAATCAATTATCGATATTGCAAAGATCTAGAATACACCAATATATCATCAATGAAGACCACCACAAACCTGTCCAAGAATGACCTAAAAATCCTGTTCATGTAATTCATGAACACTGTTGGAGCATTAATGACACCGAAACGCATCATTACGTACTCACAGGGACCATACCTAGTCCTGAAAATAGTCTTCGGTATGTCACTCTCCTTTACCCTGATCTGATGGTATCCGGATCTCAAATCAATCATCAAAACACCGAAACTCCCCTCAGCTGTT